TACTTAAACTCCATAGGCTTAATTGAATCCTTTTGATTAAACCTCTTTCCTGTTCAAGTCAATGTTACACCCAATTCTCTTTCAAGGTTTACTTTCTCATACACCAAACATACACTTTCATCCTTTACCATAGACATCTACTGATGTACTTTACTTATTTACCGCTATTTGAGTTAGAATTTAGACTCGCAATTCGTTCAAGCTGTGATTATGATTGTAACGGTATTTTTCCTAAATCTTTTCGAACTTCTGCAAAACGCAGAATAAGAAGGCAATGTACTGTTAAACTGGGATTCCCCCAAATGATAAGTTTTCAACTATAACTATTTCATCATAATACATTTAAGAAATGAAACATACATAGAAATTGTTACAATCCCTCAAGTTTGAGATTCCACGATTGATTCGTACACCACTCCCTACCCTATAAATCCATTGTATTCTTTTCACATTGTCTTGTTCTCTTTCCTGCAAGTTATAAAGTTAATCAGGATGTCTTCTAACTCGTTCATCTGAAATTTATGGTTGAAAATGCTAATTATTATTAGTTCCCCCTTACACTCCTTTACTACCATGAATTTTCAATTATGTCACGATTGGATACTTTACATTGACGACATAAGACTTTTACAGTCATTGCCAACTGCTATCCGTTTAGGGACTCCTGGAACTTCACACACTCACCAGGTTGTCTTCAAACACGTTCCTCAACACGTGATGTCCTTCCCTACTCCTCCTTCAATCCTATCACAATAAATAGGAAAACGAGCATAACTCACTCAAATATGCTATCAACATTACTTTGACTTTCTCCACTCACTCAACCCATCTTCACTTTCTGTTTAACCCACCTGTATGTTGTTTCAAAACATTAAATTATAAATGGTGTGCTTATAATTTATAATATTAATGTTTTCTAAATTAATTATAGACCTCCTAATTGTTCAGTGCTGCTTCAACATCTTAATGATTGGCCTGTGCCAATGTACAGACTAAAATAAAACTCTAACATCTTCAGGTGAACTACATTTCAATAGCTCTGAATTTCTGATGGGCATCTGTGATTCCTAAACAAATTCTTAAAATCAAAGTGTAATAGTGAACATCAATTCATGTTTCTGGTAAAGATACTCTAATGACATGGATACAATAAAAACAACTCAAACCATGATGCAGCCAGAATGAATGAATGTCCTGGGTGTGTCTGTCCTGTAAGGAATGTCATGAAGGAGTACTTGTGAATCAGAATCAATTTCCCAGGGCTTCCGTCTCTGCCAATCACATAGCCTCTTACATCTCTGAGGCTTGTCCTTGCCTTTTGATGTAACAGTGATGCCTCTTATGAACTTTGGTTCATCCATTTCTGTTGGTCCCTCATGTGACTCAGACCTCACAAAGACATCAGTATCAGGCAGCCACTGAGGAGTAGACAGCAACTGCTCTCTCTGTTGGGCCAGACCCCATCTGCCTGAATGGGCTTCCTTCTTCAAGCTCCTTCTGGTCGAAGCTCCCTTAAATGCAGTGTGGATCCTCTGAAGCAGTGTGTCCTTCCAACGGTGACGCCTGCAGCCTGCAAGGCACAC